CAGACCCCCACATACCGCTGGTATGTGGGGGTCATATGATTAAAGACTTATTTTTGGTCAAAATTTTGAATTTTTCTTCAATAGCTTCTCTTGTCTGCTCCTCTTGTCTCTTCGCCAGTGTTGCCAACTCCCCAGCAGAAAAGTTGCTATTGGCTGTCCTGTAAGGCACTAGATGACCTCATCACCCAGTTTGCATATTTTATATCATCCAGCTGTAGGAGATTCAGAATTCCTGTGATATTTTTATTTATTTTATTTTTGTATATTTTTGGTTTTTCAAAGCACTGCAGAAAGATAGTTAGAAGGGAAACCTTGTGGGAATTTTAAGAGTATTAGCTTTTATAGAATGAAGCAAGTAGATAAAATACATATAATTCAGCCATTTAGTTTCACACTCCATGCCAGTTATCATCAATAATTCACAAATAGTTATTTGCCAACTAATAAAAAAAAAAAAAACTCAGTAAGAAGCAGAAAGTGATGTACAGACAGGAGGAGCAGAAAGGAGGAGAAATTTTATAAAGAACCAGTTCATTTTTATAAAAATGGTTTTATAAATTATTCTGTAACCTTGAGCAAGATTATTAAGACCTTTGAACCTGTGCATTTCGTTTGCAATCTGGATTCTTTAAAAGTTGTTTCTCTATGCTGCAGCCCGCCCTGCATCAGCCCTCACAGCAGGCAAGATAGGGGAGAGCAGGAGGCGGGGTTACCAATCTACTTGCTCTGGAGAGCAGAGTTCACAGCAGAAGTGTCATGTAACGAAGTACAAATACTTCGTTACTGTACTTAAGTACACTTTTTAGGTATCTATACTTTACTCCATTACTTATTTTTCTTCCTACTTCTGACTTCTACTCATTACATTTTCACACAAGTATCTGTACTTTCTATTCCTTACATTTTTAAAACAAATGTTACTCGTTACTCTTGGCTTCAGTTTAATATTTATAAATATTTATTTCACGTAATGTGCGCCATCCAATGCAGATCATTGGCTCCATCCACACCTAGTGAGAACTAGTGTAATTGGATGAGTCATATAACGCAAATGCTCATTGGTTAGCTATTCGTCAAATTTGTGCTGACGCAAAAGGAAATAATCAGAAGCGGGTGTTCAAGCTGCAAACGTTAAGCGTATGTCTCATGCTACAATAATGTCAGATTCGGAAAAAGATGTCGAAAGGTCAGACACAGGAGAGAGCGTGTCGGGAGAAGGAGACGGAGACCAACAAGACCTCCCGCATCCTTGGCCCTATCTCTGAGAATTTTTCGACATAGTCGGAAGCAAAAATGACTCGTGGAAAATGCTATGCAAACTCTGCAAACCCAAGACCCATGTTATTTTGGCGTTCAAGAACTCTTCATCCAATTTGAAAAAAGATGTAGAGGTAAGTTGTAAGCTTATTCTTTGCTACTACCAAACTGTGATAATGCATATTTTGCTACAGCTTGGCTAGCATAGGGACATGCCAAGACATGTCCGAGTAGTAGCTAAGATTGTCGAAGGCGTTAGCATTGCCTCTTTGATTTTTTCGGAATAAGGTGCCCCCAATCTCTACAGTGTGAGCTATTTCGAAACTCATAAGGGCCCGTTCCTATACCACGGCCCCGTATCATTCGTTCGATGATTTGGCAGCAAGAGAGAGGATGCAAAGAATCAAAGGCAAAAACAGTTAAACATATACGTATTACAAATTGGAATTCCAAAGTGGGAGACAATTTACAAGTTTTATCACCGAAGCGGTTATCCTAATCTTAACCCGAAAATGCTCTCTGTGAGTTGTAAAAGTGTGTCTCAGCGCCCACACGTTTGCACCATGCTTTTCAACCCAGGGGCGGCTCCAAGAGGGGGCCGGACCGACCCTCCCCTGAGCTGCCTGCAGTCCAGTGCAGACTGGGTTTAAAGTTGATATCTATTTAACTTCAAAATACACTATTAATATATAAGTAATTATATATTTCCATAAAAGCTACTACACTTTTGTAAGCTTAAGACGTCTAATTTCTGGTTTATTTTGCCATGTTAAGTAATCGTGTGCCTTCAGCATTTTTTAACTGTCTTCAAATGTGTTGGTTGTGTGTCCCGGGCAATTGAATTAACAATTTCAAAGCCTTCCTTCATGTCATCTCTCCAAAATTGCTTGAATTCAATATCCAAATATTTTCATCACGTTTTTACCCTGGGCAATTGTGTCCAAGTGTGAATTGTGTGAGATGGTGGCCACTTACTGCATAAGTAAAGGAAGTGTGGCTGAACAAAAGTGTAACAATGCTGACCGTGCCCTCGTAATGAACTAATTATTAAATGTTTTGTTGTATATTTTGCAGAGAAAACACGGAAATCATTTAGAGAGATACAAAGCCCTCACTTCAACGGCCCCCAAAAGAAAAGCAGACGGAGCACCACCACAGCAAGGCCCAGCACCTAAACAAGCCAGATTATGGGGGAACAGGCCAGTGTCGATAAAAAAATCCTTTACTATATTGTGCAAGGTCTACATGCAACTAACACCGTGGAACAGCAGGGATTTATAGATCTCATACAGCATCTCCAGCCTAATTTAAATGTCATGTCCCGCAACACTCTAGTCAACAAAATTCAGAAAGCCTCTCTTGAAATGAGAAACAATTTGAAAGCAGCAATGAGCAAAATTGATTTCATTGGCACGACAACAGATTGCTGGACAGCATACAGGCGTGGATTTCTTGGCGTAACAGCACATTGGATAGACCCTCAGAGTATGAAAAGACAGTGCGCTGCCCTAGCCTGTAAACAGATAACTGGGCCACACACCTTCTCTGTCCTTGCCAGTGCATTAAACCAAATTCACAGTGAATTCAACATCCGAGACAAAATCACACGCACCACGACTGACAATGGGTCCAACTTCATAAAAGCTTTTAAGCTATATGGGCAAACTGATGAAAACAACAACCCAGGTCCTAGTGTCGAGAGACCTGAAGCCAAAGATGACAATGATGATGGGAGTGATGACGAACAGGAGAGTGAGGGGATGGAGTTCGTTGAGGCTGGAGCGATACTTGATGAGGATGACTGCCTGGAATACCGACTACCCAGACA